ATATATATATATATATATAGTTAAATAAAACACCCTCTCGAACACGAGCTTCGTCTCAACCATCCCCTATAGTTCACTCAGAAACAGAAGTGAACGCAAATATTTCAATCGAATGGACAAATACCAATGCTAACGCTCTAGGAAACAACATGAAGCTATGGTAAATGTGAAACACTGCGTTATACGTAGAACAGTGTAATTTCAGTACAAATATTACAACTTTTACAATGGTTATCACAAGAAAACTCTAGGTCAAGAATACCCAAGAGAACATCCGAATATTTTCATATCGAGACCGACGAACCAAAATAGAAAGAAAAGTGAAATGCTGACCGCGTTCACCATGACGAACAAAAACATCCAAGGTAGCTCACATCAGAAGAGATAATCATACTGACAATAGGGGTAGTAAAGTGGGACTCACAGTTGATAGTACTATAATAAGGAAATTACATTGTCCGCAGTCATACGATTCACCAAACCGATGTTGTTGTCGTTATTCACAGCAAAAGACTATCACCCCTTCCGCATTCAAAACCTATTTTGCAGAAAAACCGCAAAATAAACGAAACTCCAAAGCTATGATAAGAAATGATGCTAATTCTCACAAGAATTATTAAAAATATGGTCGATGCAAATGAGTGCAAAGGAAACTCAGCATTTGAAAGCGACCATGGAACAATTGTATTTAAAAACTTCCGATCTGATACGCACGTCTAAAGCAATGTAAGCCACAGGTCAGCACGCATGAACTTGAACACAACACCACATAAACATGAAAGGCTTATTTTCAAAGAAGTAATCAGGAAGCATTAAAATGGGAGTGGAGCTAAAGTGTTGATAGAGATTGCACAGAACAGAAGAAGCACTCTCAATGCTTTCTAAGACTTTGCCAATTATAAGATCACGATGATTGCAATTGGGTGGTCGCACAGAACAGCCAATGAGTTCAAAACGGCATTGTTCTAACAACATTAGCCAAGTGGAATGGACGCTGACCAGTGCAGACAACTCCTGCCAAATGATCTGTCTTCAGGTGAAAAAACGTTTCTAAGAAAAGAATTTTATTCCCCGTGCCAAGTCCCCGACGAAATGTTTATTGCAATGTGTATAACTGCGTCAGAAACATGATGAAAAAGGTGGTTTTAGAAACGAGCAAAAGTGAGCGTCTTAGAAAGGTCACATCTCTATTGAGGAAGCCGTTGAGAAAGCCAGTCATACTGGATTATTGCTTGGCTTCAATCGAATTCGTTAGTATCCGAACGACGAAGAGTATACGTCACCACACAGGACATGAAACTTTCACATAACTCGACAATACAAGACCGGCGAAATTTTCGCACAGGAGATATGAGAATTCACAGGCTGGATAAGTTTTTGTTTGAAAGATAACTGCTAATGAAAGTTAGCGACTGTTTCCCACCAAATTTTGAACACATAAGAAGAATAAAGGCAACCTGTATTTGGGGACACTGTACATCAATCGTGGTAGCCTCCCGAGCATATAGAAGGAACTACATGAAGGCTTCAAGCACGACTCAATAGTGTCTCGCTGGTTTTTTTAAGCGCTGCCGAGCCTAGTTTGGAAACTCACAAAGCAATGCTTCTTCAATTAAACACTGCAGTTGTCATTAAATCAACCACCAAGGAACATTTCCAAGCACAAAACTCTGTCACAGAGTGGTGAGCTGACGGACTACACAGAAACTGACAGATTGCAATCGTTGAGCTGAACGGATGTCACAATGGTAGTCCTAGATACTGCGTTCACAGATAAAAAAAACATCTTAAAGAACGTCAGAATGCACGAAAGCTGGTTGCTCTACTTCTTCGATAAGCGTTGAATCTTCAAACCAACATAAGGTGAACAGCCCTCAGCAGTTTATACAAAGTGAAAAATAAATATCGCAAAGAAGATGCGCTTTGAAATAGACTCAAATGATTGCGGCTTCGAAGAAGGTGTAGGCACTGGACCAGCAGTCGAATTAAATTTTATAAACTTTTATAACCCGAGTCATTTAAAGGAATATATTGACTATTCACGCCAAGATTAAGTAAAAGTCAGTTTACAAAAGTCCAATGCTGAGATCGATGATCCACATTGAGAGATGTTTCTATTCCACTCTATTCATCTATTCAACTCGATGTGATAACTACGAAGACTCACATTGCAAGAAGCAATTGCTGTAGACAGCCGTTCCGAATCATCGCGGCTCTGAAGAAGTCGATGATCAAGAAGTGTTAATAGCAAAAATTTGTTGTAAAACACAGATGTAAGCTTATCCGTAAACGAAGACACCAATTATCCATTCCCAGGTTAAATGAAAGTCGCTACTAAAAATCCACCCACTATCATCGCAAGTGTTAGGCACAGATGATTGATCGGCAAGACAGGCACGTCACACCAATACAACGTCATGTTGAGAGAAAACAAAAAAAGAATAGAAAGCGAAAGGGGTGCATTAATTTTGCGAGCTAATACTTTGGCTAGACGCGCAAATCATGCGAGCAAAACTTAGCCTCAAAGGAACAAGAACTATAGTAATGTGTGTGTATTCTATAAGTACTTCACACACTCTAAATAAACGGCTAATAACAATAAACACCTAGAACACCCAAGCTGAAACACAAATTGTATTACACGCCCACCCGAACAGTACTGCAAATAGTCCTTGAAGAAATCACTGTCGTTGCCAGTGCCAATAATAGCTCCAGTATGGCCGCCGCGATGAGACCGGCGTCAAGACGGTAATCGGTACCCAGCCGAGTCATTGTTCTGCAAGGCAAGAAAGTATAGCTGTGCGAACACCATACTGTAAAATAACCTTCCATATTTGAAGTGTTCAAAGTCTTCAGAACAAACAACTTTCAATCGTGATTAAATTAATGGTAACCCTTGAAATTCCACTATAACGTACACTCTCATATTATCGTCGACATGATCTCCACACATGATTTGGCAACGACTGTTTCGTGGTAGCGACGTCGCCAATAAATGCCAGTCACACTCACCCCAACACTCGTGCTAAAAACAGGAAGGATTTCAAAATGAGTAAAAAGAAAAAGGTAACTGGTAGATAACTTCATGCACACTAACAAAACCCTACGAAATTTTCGGCTTTTTCTCTTCTCAAATGTAATCTATTTCATAGAATTCACTAAGAAGAGTTTGAGAGAGAAAGAAGACTAAGAAGAGAATTCACTCTATTGCACTACCGTAAAAAGGGATATAGCTGCCCGCGTTGATCAATCCCTGAGCGATCCGCCAGGCATTTCACACCATTCGTGATACCGTTAGAGGTGATTGAATGCATATCATGGCCTCTACAATGACCCATGGTGGCCTGCCGATGTATGTGCTACTATCCTCCCAGACAAGTCTGGTACCTATTTGACGACTCCGGCGGGATGGGAGGCTTGGTGGACCATGGGCACGAGGATCGATTCCATGTGTGTGCCGTAGTGGCGCCTCCAACCACTACGTCACACGCGCTTTACCATAATAGGTATAAAAGATGTCCGTGTCTTATTGATGGATGCATATGATACAATACTTAGTGTCTATTGCAATACACAGTGGATTGCTAAATGGTTCGACTCAGCGCCTTCGACTCTCCATGTCTCAGATCCTTTCGACATCCTTTCGAGATTGGCGAATTGTTACAAGAGCTTTCTAGGAATATAAAGACAAGGGACATTTGGTCACTGGAAGTCATTTCATAGGCTAAACATGCATTCAATCGTTTCTACACCCTTAATAATGTCAAATGCACATCATTTAGTGACTGATCGACGCTCGATTTTTTGTTTCATCAATGTCCAAGCAAGACTGACAAATTATTTCAATATTACCTTAGAAGCCCTCCCAACAGCTTAGCGCCCCATGGTGGCTGGGAGGTGATCCTGGGTGTTGGGTTGCGATGTGCAGCGGAGGATTCATCAATCGGCAGAGTCTCCCAAGCTGAGAAGGAGTCCGGCGTTCCCATCCGGAAGCCCTGCTAAGAGTAACAATACCAGGATCCACCACCGTCATGGTATCAAACTACTCTCACGGTGGAAAATCTCCATTTGAACTACAAAGGCGGCGACTGCTTGTGCTGGTGACGATCTTGGGCAGACTTTGGTCAAACTAACCTCGGGACTCCAGAGAACACCATGGCTAAACCAGCAAAACTCCGAAAAATGGAGACTATGTTGGGGCGCGCACAGTCAGTGAGGACAGGCCGTTTATGTATCAAGTAGGTAACTTAGAAGCATCCCAATAACAATTCTTTTAAAAGTTAAGCGGCAATACACTGCAATAAAGCCATAATCTCATAAATTAGTTAAATGACAAAGCAATAAAGTGATCACTACTAAAACACACACCTACCACAGTTTGTGTTCAACTAAGGCCTCTGTAAGGCCTAAGCACTTTATAGTATTTCAACGTTCTACTTTAAGAAATGTACCAATCATGATCTCAACAAAACCAATAGAAGTAAACAGCTCTACACGAAAACTGTAGACAGTTTTCACCACTCGAATGATAACAACACATTTTGTAGCTCTGGCACGCGATGGAAACTAGGGAAATTTCTACTGGCGCTTTCTTGAGCCATTCAACAATTAATCAATTTACAACTGATACAGTGGATTTCTAACCACAGAACTACTGGCAGGACTGTCTAGTACCTGATAGAAATGTATGTCGAAGCTGGAAACAATCACTATCGCCGGTACAAAAATGATGATAGCATGCACTGACATGACGAGAAACGTGATCACTAATCCTCTCCTATAAGAGGCAGCTCCACACAGTCCCACCAACCTGAAAGTCGCTCGGATTCACTCAACCAATCGATAATGAAAGTTTACAGGAATAGGAAAAAGTACAGTATAAATGCTAGAATGAAATGAAGACGAACACTCCACCTACGATCTCATACTTATCACGGAAACGAAATGACAATCTTCCAGAATAAAAGCGTTACCAGCACTAACCCAGTAACAATAAAGTAGAACGAACAGCACTCTTCCAATCCATACAATCGAATCGTATTAATTCGACTACTGACATAGTCAGCTAATGTTGACAGAATTAGCATGATAAGACCCAAAACAACATGACATTGCGCTAGGGCCTAAAATTAGCAAATATACATAAATAACAATACAAACTAGACGGAAGTCCTGAACTTTTTTGGCAGCACAGAGGCAGCGAAGAAATGTCGTCGCTAAGTGTACATCATGATCTTTACTTAAAGAGAACAATGCCGATAAATTACAAAACTCTCTAGTTAGAAACATGAACCCTTCTTATCCTCTCGTCATTCTTTCTTTCTGTCAAAAACCTCTAACGTTTGAGCCAATTTATCCTCTTGTTTCCCATCCTTGAGACCCCTATTACTTCCACATTTAGATAACCCGGCTTCACTAGTTGTGGGGGTACTATCATAATTTCCATTTTTTCGGAGTTTTGCTGCTTTAGCCATTGTTCCCGAGGTCCCGAGGTCAGCCTAACCAAAGTCTGCCCAGGTCTTCACCACCACAGGTAATTTCCGCCCTTGTGGAACAGAGGGAGATTTGCCACCATGCGACTGGTTTCATACCAAGACGGTGGTCGATAATGGCATTGGTTTACTCTTAGCCGAGCTTGCTTGTGGAAACGCCGGACTCCTTCGCAGCCTTGGAGACCCGGCCGGGGCATGAATCCCGGCTCTGTACATCGCAGCCCGACTCCCAGGAACACCTCCCAACCACGATGAGGTGGTAAACCGTTGGGAGGAAGACCCTTATTATAAGCACATTATTATGAATGGACGCCTAAGTCACCTGACGAAGGTCGAAATTGTTACGGTGAATTCGGCCCAAGAGGAGAAGTAGAAGAACAATGTCATTCATGAGAAATACATAACAAACACTATACAACTAGTAAGTATGAGCAAGGACAAAAAGTACTACTTACCTTTAAGACTGATAGCATCCTAACTGTACTTGTTTCGGATAACCGCTCTCCTTTTAAGTAATTTAACTGCATCCTAAAAAAAGCAAAAGAAGAACGTAAGAGAATTCAAAATAGCAGAGACAAAGATTTCGCTGACTATGAAGCATTCCGCCTCACAAAACGTATAGGAGTGGCTTGGATAGCTCCTCTGATTCAGAAAAAAAAACTACGAGCTCTTCGATCATCAAAAAAATATCATCATTGACCTTGTCATTTTCAGGAAAGCCCTAAAGAATTCTTATATTCATAACATCATCCTGAATGTATTGAAGCTGTTAAAGTTCTGATAAGTCAACTTTCTAAACTTAAGAAGTGACTCTAAGTGCTGATGGATTTGAACTTAGTCGAATGGTGTCTTTGTAGAACATACACTTAGAACAACACAAAACTGAATGACAACAACAAAACAACCGGTTTGTTAAGAGAGTTATTCGGATTAGAATGACGTCATCACAATGAACACAACTATTCTGCTCGCCGAGAAACTTACAATTGTCGTGCAGTGATCGTCGTTAACGTTAACATAACGAACGATAGTGCGGTTAACGTGCTCCACGGTTAAAATGAATAGGAAAATTTAAAGGATAGAGGGGAAAGACGGCACCGTAGTCGACACGGCTTTAGAAATAAGTGGCATACACTTGTTAGTAACGACACACAGACATAGCACATCCATAAAAAGCTCTAAAGTTTTCGGCGTTGATCAATCCGTGAGGGATGTATCATGCATTCGACTTCGTTAATCATCGTTTGGAGGTGATTGAGTGTATATCCAGCCCATACAATGACTAGCACTGGGCTGTCGATGTATCGACCCAGTGCGGCTATCCTCCTAGACAAGTACGGTACCGATTTGCGGACCACGGAAGGATGGAAGGCTTGGTGGACTAGTGGCGCAGGGATCGACCCCATGTGTATTGCAGGGCGCCTCCGACCACTGCGCTACCTGTGCCCCTATTGCAGCAGATAAAATATATAGAGATTTATTCATTCGCTGATTAATCACTAAGGATTACAACATCTTATCAACTTTTCACTGCCTTTATGACTTCTATTTAATTAGTCTCTTATTCTGAACTCTACATTTACTCTTGTCAGCTCAACTAAATTACTTGAACTTACTTGATACTTGAACGACCTCTCCTCACTAGTTGTGCGCGCCCCAGCATAACCACCATTTTTCAGAGACTTACCGGTTAAGCCATTGTGGTTCCCTGGAATCCCGAGGACAGCCTGGCCAAAGTCTGCTCCAGGTCGTCACCACGAGAGGCAGTCGTAGTCCTTGTGGATCAGATGGAGATTTACCACCATGCGACTTTGATACCAGGACGGTGGTGGATCCTGGTATTGGTTTACTCTTAACTAGGCTTCCTGATGGAAACGCCGAACTCCTTCTCAGCTTGAGAGACCCTGCTGGAGGACGAATCACCCAGCTGTACTTCGCAGCCCGACGCCCAGGATCACCTCCCAGCTACGATGAGGAGGCAAACCGTTTAGAGTCCCAACTAAATTAGTACTAATAATATTAGTAATACCCTAAAGCATATATGAACATTTTCAGCGCTATAGGTACCTTTTTTGGTGAAAATGTTTGATTTATTGTGGTATTAATACATAATTTGGTTTTCAATAATGTTCCTTCAGAGCTTTTCAATCCTAAACAGCTGTCATCACAAAAAGAAATTAATTCAGAAAGCTAGAAAACACTGAAAATAATGAATGATGGAATTTCAGCTGCTAAGAGAAACAATTGGCGCGTGTGGTGCAGTGGTCGGAGGCGCCCTGCCATGCATATGGGATCGATCGTGCGCACAGAGCTCGCTGAGCCTTCCATCCCTCCTAGGTCGGCGAATTGGTATTAGAGTTGTCTGGGAGAATAGCATCACTGGCTCGATACCTCGGTAGCCCACCGCGAGCCATCGTAAAGGCCACATATCCATTTAATCACCTCCAACTATGCTCAATGATGTCAGATGCATGGCGCACCCCTAAGGGAATGACCAACGCCGAGAGCTCTATCCTTTTATGTCTTCTTTTTTTTAAGAAAAACACCAATTAGGATATGACTATTGAGATTAAACAGATAAGGAGCATATATGCGATTCTAAATATTTAAGTTAACACTTCCAAGGGCTCTTTTTCTTTTCTTAACTCTTTCTCAGGCTGTTCATAGAAAGTGAAATTCATCGAAGCATTAGCGAATGTGTAATACATGTTATATTACTAACCTTTTGTAAACTCTTCAAGGATACGGTAGCTTATTGATTACTGCTAAGGTTAGTAGGAATCCGGCGATGATAATCAGAAAGTAGGAAACAAAATATATACGGAAAATTTCATATAGACATGGAATACACAGTGAATGTGCACAGCATTTCGTTTATAAAGTGTTGGGTTACACAAATACGAACTCGTGTCGGTGATGAACCAGTAACTAAACAGAGTCGCTAAGAAGAGAATAACACAACTACTAACAGGTAGACTTACAATAGTATGGCGACTAGTTAGGCTTAGGTTAGACAAATCACACAATACAGGGCAAGCAAACAGATTACGAACTGAGGAGATGCGGATAGGCGCTCGATACAGCATCTAACGAACGCCAAGAGTTAGCCATTAATTGCACTTATTTAGGTGATTAGATGTATTACCTTGTAGTTGGATGTTCTTCAATCCCATGTTCGGTCATTTGTAATCACAGTACAGTTAAAACAATTTAGAACGCTAGAGTCGACGATAAGGTAAGGCAGGGGTGTTCGTTGCAGAGCTCATGAGGCACGAACTAGCCGCTCGCTCGATATGGACCGAGTAACAATGCGACGGAAATGGCCGTTAGCGGCGGTGTCGCGGCGGCAGTGGCGGTGTCGCGGCGGCGGCAGGCGGAAACGGGTGGAATGGTTGTCGATGACGCGCTACCGCACACTAGTACGTCGCTCGATGACGTCCTGACTAGTGGTATTCGTACTACTGACAATGAAGTGATAACATGTTCGACATCAAATCCATTGAAAATGACTATGGAATGAGCGGCAGTTCATGGAATCGCTGAATCGGAAGCGATGAGATAGACTTACCGTAATCGCTCGCCAATTTGAGCCATAGTGGAATGAACGGAACACGATGGTTGTTGAGACTGACCGACAAGTGATGAACGACAGCGAATCCGACAGCTATGTTCGAATGTCGAAGACGTTATTGTCCATCAATTCTAATGCACTGCACACACCTTAACCTATAATGAACGATAATCGATCTCGTAAAATATTACTAGATTTCGAGTTTCTTAGTCAGACCGAGTTTCAGTCCACTCCCATAAACAACGATCTCATGAATCGACTGTACAGATCAGAGCTATACTGGGATCTATGCTTTAGAATATAGTGGTTGTACGAAACGTTGATGAGATTGTGTGAACAAGTAATAATGACGAACAAACGACCGAACAAGCACTCATTACTCGACGTCTACACTAGCGTTAATGAGAATGAGGGCTCGTGGGCGGATAAGATGCAGTACGAAAGCACATAACTAACCACACACCCCACCCACATGTGGTTCGATAACCCGACCAACGTTATTGGATGGGTACATAGTGTGGCAGTCATAGCAACAATCAGGTGGGAGCGAGTTTCAGTGATTCATGTCCAGAGAAAAAGAACCAACAACGATGTAATAATGAACAAGCAAATGCTTCGTTTCCATAAATTGAGCGGTTTTTTCTACGTCTACACGGAATAATAACCGAATTGATAGGGTCTTTGATTGAATACGAAGTGTTATCGCGTTCATTGCACTCAAAAGAAGATATCTAGATCATGGTAAAAAGGGGCAATAGTCGATCATCATCGAATGGTACATAATGGCACCAATATCTGGACGTTTTGAAATGATCGATTCTGGAAGAAGAAGAGGAAGAAGAGGATGAAGGAGAAGGAGAAGAAGAAGGAGGAGCAGAAGGATAAGGGCAAGTACAAGGACAAGGACGAGGGCAAGGAGAAGGGGAAGAAAGAGAAGGAAATGAAGAGGAAGAAGAAGAAGAGGAAGAAGGAGAAGTGATGAGTGTAGTCGTAGAACGAATGTGGTCATATGGGAATTTGCTCGAATTGTTGCAACAAGCCGAAGTGACTCCAACGTACTCAGCCAACTGAATTTATGCTCTTTCCTCATTGACTTGACATCCTCAAGTGCTCGTAACACAACAACGAACATTTACTTCTTGTGTTTACTATAACATGTTTCGATGTTTTTCTTCAATAAGCAGACACGAGGTTGTTATTATAGGTTCACGCGACATTATGCTTCCATGCGTTTTCTGTGCTGTTGGTCCTCACGTGACATAGTGGAAACCTCATAGAAAGCGGCTCTGAGGAAGGCGAAATCCGCCGAAGCGTTAGCTTATTCGTGAATAAAGAATAATAACACCTCGCGTTTGCTCAACAAAAGTACGAAGAATTATTTGATCAGTGCCGAGGTTAATAGAAAGTCGGTCGTGGGTGTTATTATAGGATTTATTGGGATACAATAGCTGATGTTTCGGCGGTTTCGAATTCTTCAGAGCCTGGAAAGGTCAAATTGAGATGCGATCTACCCAGCCAAACACTTTCATAACCCTAGCAGATAAAACTTAACAAATAAATTTTCATTCTCATAAGATACAGCTTCATTTGAACACCTACCATTTATTTGTTGTAAGTATTTTAGTTGATGGATAGCAACCGCACACATTGACGAGGACTGTGTCTCTGTCAGGTCATTGGATTGGCCTGAAGTATGGCGCCAGGTCACGCGTGATGGCAACACACTCCTCCTTGCGGTTCATTTTTGAATTTTTGGCATTGATCCAAAACGCTTCAAGAGTTTTTCGCGCTGATGTTTTCGATTCGTGCGTGGGGATAGTGACTCCTACTTCAAGATCTTCTCCGTTGTGTTCCTGCACCCTATGCATGTTTCAGTTACTAATGCTTTTTTGCATAGCGATTTTCATTATGCTTATTTTCTGACCACTTGTAACGAGAAATGATTCCTAACCTTGAAAAGCAAAAAAAAGAACTACACTTACACTCGAAATGTTTTTTATGGCTACACATCGTATACGATGTAAATGATAGTGAATGCCAATAATACAGAAATGGTAGCGTGGGCCACATAAGAACTAAATAGATTGGAATGTAGATTTGAAATCTGATAGTGAACTTTGCGACCACCCATGTGGAATTTCGCATTTACGACCTCTGACTTCTCTGTGTTGGCTAGACAAATCCGCGCTCTCTCTCTCTCTCATATTCCACTCATCATCGAAATTTTTCTCAGCTTTCTATTCACTTCCAATTTTAAATTTTATTTTATTTTATTTTTAATTTAAATTTACTATTATAATTGTAATAATAATAATAATTATTATTATAGTTTATTTTAATTTATTATTTAAATTTTTCATTTATTCTTCGATCCTTATGGATGAAAGTTCAAGCGAGTTTTTTTTTGCCAATCTTTTCTTTGTAATTGTCATTGTAAAGTAAAAAATTGAACAGCTACGAAATTTCTACACAGGCAGTTTACACTTTCCCCTCATTCGTTGCCTTTAATGAGAGATACAAATTAGAATTGGCATAGGTGTTAGAAGAAAAAGTGACGGCTCCTTCAGGACTGGTAGATTGAGGCATGTCGATTTTTCAAAGATAAATCGATTATTTCAGGAATCTATTACAAAAATCAATAATCGCCTGTTGTCTTAGTAAATTTACATATGAAACACGAATATGGAGCCTTTCGTAGTATTAGAAAACTTATAACTCAGGCACATAGTATAGCTTGTATAAAGTTGAAGCGAGCAGTGTTTTTCTTTGGAATCGACGAATTTCAAATTACATTAGTTCTCATTCTAAAGTGGTGTATTAGTTGATTAGATAATTGCTTGCGTCGTATTCATCAGTGCTAGCTTTTCCAGGTTTCTAGCATGATTTCCACTTAACTTGCTTAGACAATAGCGTCTGTTGCCTTCAACAAAAGCACTCGCCGAACTTTGTAGTCGTGGAGAAATTGGCTACCATCTGACTAGATTTCTTGAGGACGACTGCTATTTTTGTCATAGATTTACTAATAGTTGAGTTTTGCAGTGAAAACATCTACACTTACCTAGCCTAGGTCGCTTGGAAGCTTTGGAGATTAATTCCGTGCTGAACATTGCCCTGTACGTGGCGACGAAATGTCCGTCGCTACCGTGAAACGTAAACCGTTAACGACATCAATATAGATTGAAGGTTCATTGGTAATAAAATGTTAAATAATAGACTGCAATCAGTGGACACCAGTAGCTCGAGTAGTTTAAGAGAAAAATAAGAAAAATAAAACTTTCAGAGTTGATCAATCCCTTCGGGTTGTGCTATGCATTCGTTTGGAGGTGACTGAAGGCAGAAACTCCCACGACCGACTTTCTATTAAACTCGGCATTGATAAAGTAATTCTTCGTATTTTTGTTGAGCAAACGCGAGGTGTTATTATTCTTTATTCACGCTGCCTGTAAAATCACGAAAACTACTCTGTGTATCATATCGGCATTTTTACAATATTCCGACCGTTAGTGATAGGAAGATAGGTTAGTTCGAGTCGCATTATCGAACAAACGACCATGTGTGTATTGCGACCCGCATCTGACCACTGCGATACACGTTCTCGTCTGTATTGTTATCCTAATAGAACAACCCTAATTAAATCGTCGTGTAGAAAGGCACTCAAAGATGTTCTTTCTACGAACAGCATTCTCATTTATTGAAATATTAAAAAAACAAATGTCTTTTAGCGTTGACTATCACCAGAGTAAGATTCAGGTAAGTAAAAATGCGCATACCAAGAATCTTCTGTAGGGTGCCTTCGGTACTACATTTAGTCAGTTAGATACGTGGATCATCCATCTTCAGGAGCCATATGAGCACCAAAACTTTTATCGACAGTCGCCCATAACATTATGTACGTCAGGATTCATGGCGTCTCTCAATACCATTGGTAAGTGGTCGAAAAATCGTTCGCCTCTGCTGCATAGCAGAGCTCTGGTAGCGCCGCTGAGTAGAAATGTAGAACTAAATTTTTGGATCCCTTCGCTTCGCTTTCCAAGGCCCTACGGCAACATACGTTGCCGTCCTTTCTTTGAAGAATTACTCCTTCTTGCACATTGCATTCCGTTCAATGAACACCATAGGTACATGTGTGGTGTACTCCATTAACAAAGAATTATATATTTCTATACCTATTTGTCTATTTCTATATTTTTCTGCCGTACTGTGAGTTTGCCAAAGCCCGGATTTTCTAGCGAATTATGCAGTATTTCGTGTCGTTTTTTTGGTCTCGTTGAAATCCTCAAGGACTATCTGATTTTCCAGTGGAAAGGATGACGAATCCATTATCAAAACAAAAATTCAATAGGAATTTGTTATCGCCACGCGTGGTTTTCTTTCTAAACAAGTGACTTCATTATCTACTGCACCGCGATGAGTAACAAGCTTTGGAGGTGGTGTTCCATGTCGGACCTTTTTCTTATGGAAATGTTGTGAGGTCGATGGAAGAGCGGTGTTTTCGTTGTGTAGTTCTTTTACTGGTCGGATGAAGATCTTACGTAGTATGGGTGTAGCGGCTAGTTGGCGACCATTAATTGCACAGCATTCATTTCATGAATGTCGAACCACTGAAGTGATCATCAAGGGATAGATGGTATCCCGACAAATTAAGACGTCACTTGCTACAGTCTGCATGTGGGAATTCCTCCTAGAACTCTTTTTGATTAATTGCTTTCGGAGCAAAATCATGTGGTAGTTACTAGTGATCACCTCCGGTCACCTTTCTTAGGCTAGAGGATGGTAAGATTGACTTTTTTCCTTTAGCTTCCAATATTCTTTTCTACACGTGTTATTGCCAACAGCTTTTAAAAATCTCGTAAGTCTTATGATTAAAGCGAGAATACTGGCCATTTTTGGCGGTATTAAATTTGTAAACAGTTTTTTATAATTGTATTGCTGCCGTATTCCATCTTAAAACTACTCTTCACCTGAACACCTCTAATTTAGCACTTAATTTACACTGCTTTAACTCTGGTTGAATGGATACTTTCAAAGAGGAAATTCCTATGTTTGTGCTTCATTAATTCAAAGTCGGTCGTACTACTACGGGTACATCTCGAAATATCGCCAAATCATGGGTGCATAAAAGCGCTTTGGTGCTCAGATGGTTCAAAGAAAAAAATGTTGTCAGAGAGACACGAGTCTTAGTGAATGAGAAAAATCATCGGCTCCCAACCAGCAGTTATGCGACTAGCATCTGAAGACGATAATGGAAGGCGATTTTCGAAAAGTTACTCAAGGGACGCAAGAATCAACATCAACTGGTCCGCAATCGGTTTTTACTTGGAAGATGATGGAAAGATTCTTAATAAAAAGGCCGATAAGTGGGCGCACTATGAATTGAACGAGTGGCAGAAAGAGAATTATCAAAAATCTGTTCTGCCGTTCTTCAACGAAACAGAAACGGGTTTCCTTGATAGTACTGCGATTCAAGGTGAAAAATCGATTCCATACGATAAGCGAGGACGTTCAGTGTAATGGCTGAATCGGAATGAAGCTCATGTGAACATCGTCTGGAGCTGAATTTGCAACAAAATATTGCGACTACTATTTGGTGATCTGTTGCTGAACTAATCCACCACAACTTTCCGAATCTTGGCAAAACTATAACAGTAGAGTAGTAATGTGACGAAGTCGATGAGATAATTTACGAAGTGCAGCGTATTTACGCAACTCACATTTGTAGAGACAGCTGAATTTTTTTGCGTGATGACGTACAACAGCATGGAGCACAACTTATATTGAAGGAGACAAAAGACGTTCAACGTACTCATCCTGTTGCCAGCTGATTACCATTCTTCATACTTCAACTGCTTTCTGAGAAAAGAAGAGCACTGTTGTTCAGTAACCAAGCCGCATTTGAAAGTTCCTTGGATCATCACTTCCAGAACTCCAGAATTCTATCCACAGCAATAAAAAAAACCAAATAATAAACACTAAAGATAA